CTGATGATTCCGGTGTGGCGGCCGGATGAAACGCAGAGTAGGGTCGCTGCGCCATGCGTATCACGATGTTTTCGATGTTTTGGCGGTGCTATACTTAATATTTTCGGCCTTTTCGGGAACCTGGAACTTGTCGTCTGTCTTTTCCTTCGTCTTTGTATGTGCTTGAGACCTATCCTGTCCGTTTGTTGCTTTGGTTTGACGTAAGTCTTCAACTGCATCTCACGTTGTAACCAATCTAAGAATAGCATTACGGGTGTGTGGCCAAGTTATACAACGGTCCACTAGCCATACTCTACGTGTCTCTCTCTCTTTCTTCTGTGTGTTTCTTCATTATCCCCTGATGATTCCGGTGTGGTGGCCGGATGAAACGCAGCGTAGGGTCGCTGCACCATGCGTATCACGATGTTTTATATGTTTCGGCGGTGCTATACCTAATATTTTTCGGCCTTTTCGGGAACCCGGAACTTGTCGTCTGTCTTTTTCCTTCGTCTAGGTATTTCCTTGAGACCTATCCTGTCGGTTTGTTGCTTTGGTTTGACGTGAGTCCTCACTGGCCCCAGGCAGTTCAGAAATATTTGGTTTTACTCGTCAACATCCGTCATCTGGCTTCGAACACAACTCTGTAGTTTATCAGTTCAATGCTGTACCCACTGAGCTAGGCTCTTGGGTAATTGAAACACTTTTGCCTCAGGGTCACATCGAAATTCTTTACGAAATTTGAAATAAAAAATATTTCTATTTTTTATGTTTTTAATTTATTTTTGGCCCGGCCGGGCAAGTGGACCCGGGCCACTGTGGTAGCCTAGTTTATAATTAATTAATTCTTTTTCAACATTTCTTTTTTGTAATTCGAAAATACCTTAAATTGTTTTTTTTTTTTTTTAAATCATTCAAAAATATGTAGAATTAATTAATTTAATCAACTCTTTTCAAAATTTTGTAATTCGAAAATTTCAAAATTTTTGTAATCCGCAAATACTTCAGAATTAATTAATTCCTTCTCAACATTTCTTTTTTGAAATTCGAAACTACTCTTAATTAATTATTTTTCGAAAATTTTGTCATTTGAAAATATGCGAGAACTTTTTTTTTTTTGACATTTCTTTTTCGAAATTTGAAAATAACTTTAATGAAGTCTTTTTTAAAATTTTTGTAATTCGAAAATACTTTAGCATTAATTAATCCTTTTTCAAAAAAAATTATTGACACATGCATGTTTGAACGCATCAAAAATTATTTTTCAATAAATTTAATTAATCCAAATTCGAATTAATATTTTCACTCAAAATTAATTATCCTTTTTTGGAAATTTTAAACATCTTCCTTTTGTCAAATTCTTGCAAAATTCTTGGAAAAAAAAATCAATTATTCGAATAAATTCATTCTTTTTCCCTTCATTTCCTCCCCCCCCCCCCCCCCCCCCCGGCATGCCATGCCAAACGAAGAACCCTTAGTGCCCTGCTGCCTCTGCCGCTGCTAATGCCGCTACAGCCGCCTCCACCTCATCACCACCCGCTTCTCTGTCAACTGCTACTACCCCGGCTGTTTCCTTCGTGATAGCCTCCGCTGCGAACTCATTGGTCAACAGGCTGAGGCCCAGGAGCCCCCCGCTGACTCTTCCGCCCTCTTCTCCCTCATGACCACCATGAAAGCCACCCTCGACTCCCCCAAAGCGTCCCTCTCCGGTCTTTCCAACAGAAGAACCACCGTGGAACAATGACAAGCCTCCTCCACTATCCAGGTCGTCACCAGCACGCCCCCCTCCACTGCGGACTCCATCACCCGTTCCCCTCCCTTCACCTCCACATCTACCCCTATTACCTCCTCCACCCCCGCTGCTCTCGTTGCCAGCACGTCGTCCACAACCCTGCATTCATCCCCCCCAATCAAAACCTCTCTTGACTTCGTCCACCATCACGTCCACCCTCCCCACCTATACCCAGATCACTCCCACACCACAAGCTCTGTATCCCGCTCTTCCACTACTTCCCCCAAACGTTTTCACCAACCCCACCAACAATCTCACCCGGATGCTTCTTCCTCTCCCACCCTTGACTTCGCCACCACTACCCCCAAAGTCGGCAGTATCCCTCCATCATTCCGCGGCAACGAGATCCCCACCTTCTTCGGCCAACGCCATGAGGATGTCTTCCTCTTTCTCACCAAAYTCGAACAAGCCTTCTCCCTCCACAACATTCCTGTCATCCACTGGCTCCCCATCGCCGACACCGGACTCCTAGACGGCCCCGCTTGCCTGTGGTACAGAGAAATGACCAACTGCCATCCTGCCAGTCTTCCACCTCACTTCTTCCTTGAGTGTGCCACCATCATCACCTCCACTGGCCATCCACAGAAAACGGTTGACGACTACATCGACCAATTTTGTCGGCTCTACCAAAACGGCCCAACTGACCATTTTGTTCAATACGTCCGCTCGTTCGTCACTGTATCCTCATCAACGCCGTCAGCGACATCGTATTCATCTCCCGCATCAAGCGAGTATGCCGCAAAGACCTAGCGGCCGCCCTCGTCCACGAGTCCCCCATGACTCTTGCCGACCTCCTCACTCATGCCCTCCAAATTGACCGCCTCCTCTCCCCCTACAAGGCCCTACTCACATCGGCCCCTTCCCACCCTCACTTCTTCAACAACATTGCCTCCGATGATACCACCTCCACCACTTCCTCGCACGAGTTCACAACCCCTTTCGTTGAGCCTGACACCATCTTTGACTTCTCGTCTCCGGTGTCCCTCAGTTTGGAGGAACTCGACACCATCCAGTTCTTGCGCATGGAACGCAAGGACCGCATGGCTTGACCCTCTTCCTCCACCCCACCCCCCTGTCTCAAGAAACTCACAATTGAGGAACGCGCCTGCCTGCAGGCCAACAATGGCTGCTTCCGTTGCTGGCAGCTTGGACACCAGCAAACCAATTGCCCCACGCCGGCCAGTTCACTCTCCACGCGAGCAAACCTGCGACATCCACTCCCTCGGCCGCCGCAGGACCTAGTCCCTCCTCAACATGACCTCTGTACCCTTGATCTTGGCGTGCACAACCCTCCGCCGACACCATCCTCTACCCCGCCAGACAAGATCATCACCGCCTCGTGCTCTTCCACCGTCCTCCCCAACCCTTCATCTATCTCTTCCTCTGATGTTGTTGAGGAACAAGCCCGACACAACCGGCTGTTCAGATTAGGCATCGAGCAACGCCGCCTCAACACCATCATCTCCACCCCTACTCAGCCCGCTTCCACCTCAAGTTTATTGCCGCCACCCTTGGTGCGTCTACTAAGTTTCGGGCCCTCCTTGGCGCTTCCACCTCAAGTTTATTGCCGCCACCCTTGGTGCATCTACGACCAAGTTTCGGGCCCTCCTTGATATTGTAGCTACTGGTAACTTTATCACCCACGCATGTGTGCGAAAAGCGAGTCTCACTTCACGTTCAACTCCCCGATTACCATTCGTTTAGGCGACAAAGACACCGGCGTCGTAGTAGACCGCACGGTCCCTGAGACCACCATGACTGTCGGAACTCTCCGCAGTCAGGTCTCATTCTATGTTATGCACTTTATGTGTGACATCGTCTTGGGAACACCTTGGCTGGATCGCTACAGGGCATGCGCATTCCACCCCAACTTCCTCCGCCTCACCAACCCCCCCAACACGCCCATCGACATCCCCTATTTCCCCCACTCTACCTCTCAAAACACTGTCACCGGCGGCGGGGATCCAAGGGGCCCAAGCCGGGGTAGGGGTTTCACCCCTGGACCCCCGCCGGGGGGCTACCCAAGCCCCGCCCCCGCC